TTTGTGTTGTCCTCTGCTCGATGCCGTGTTTCACCCAACCACTCCTTTTTTTTATGGACTATTTGCCTGCCGAGACGCCATCCGCGACGGTGGCTTCGCTCGGCCATTGCGGTAACACAACAACTCCTCCGATCGACGAACCAAATCCGATTGCACGCGGCGCAGCCGCTGCTCCTTCGCCTCAATTTTTGTGTCGCGCTCATCCAATATCTTCATCCACGACGCCACCTTCTGACTAAGCTCCTCCACCCCACTGATCCTCTCCTGCAAGGAGTGCTCCCGCGCCTTGTGGGCCTCAAGGTCCTTCCGGTAGGCCTCCCCACGCACAGCCAGCATGGCCTCGCGTTGCTCATTTCGCCTCTCCAACGTCGTCAGCGCCTGCCGCTTCTCTCGCACCTCGCGCTGCAGATCCTCTAGTTCACCAAGTTTCCTTTTCAATAGACGCTCCTTCTCCGCAACAGCAGCCTTGCGTTCATGCACGCGTGTAAAGAGTGCCTTGGCGGCATTGCACTCGGCCAAAAGTTGCTGCAGCTGCTGGTCGAGATCCAGTGCGTCAGCCTCGTATATCATGGCAAGGCTATTGCCGGTGGGCTCCCTACGACGCAGTGCTTGCTCCTTCTTCACTAGATCGTCACGGGACTCAGCAAGCTGAAGCGCCTGTTGACGTTGCGGTAATGATCGCTTAAAATGTTCAATGTCAACGGTCCGTTGCAATTTAAAGATCGCCTGCTCTGTCACAGCTAACTTGTTGTTTGCCGTCTCGAGTCCGGCAAACCACGATGCTGCCTCTGCAGTTGTGGTATCCTTCCTGTTTCTCGTCTCGTCTTTCGCCTCCTCTGGGGGTGAAGGCGGTAACGGGAGAGATGATGTCTCATTGTTGTCCCCCTCGTCAACTGTGGACTTATCGCGGTTGGACTCATGAGGACTAGTGCTCTTCTGCCGGCCACCCACGGCCACCGATGTCGCAGCCCTTGCGGTGGAGTCCATTTCTGTCCGCCGCACCTTGCGCACCGATGCAGCAATCTCCTCCACAGAGATTGTCTCATTAAGAAACGGATTCAGAAACGCCTCCTCGCCGCTTTCGAATGAGTAAGTTGATGTTGAGTCATCGTGACTGGCGGAACTCGTACTACACGAACGCAAGTCCCCTCGCCTTGACTCATTTGGCGGGGTTGGTGGTGGCGGCACCGTACGCCTGTCAATTCGGCGTGCACCACCACCACCACCTTCGCTACGATTACTACTATCAGCACCTGATGCTGCTGCCGCTCTTCCTGTGGCACGCGCCGCGTTGAACTCTGCTGAAAGATTGCGCTCCAAACGGGGCGCTGCAGCACTCCTGCCGCCTTCTCTTTCCGTCCTCTGCCATTCCGAAGCATGACCGCTATTCTTGGCATCATTGTTGTTGGTGTTGGTGCCGGGGGCGGCAGTTGTCTCCGTGCCTGCGACACCGGTGACAACACCCATGGCCTCCGCGATGGTGGCGTTGTACAACTCGAGCCGCTCGCGAAGCAGTTGAATGCGCTTGTTTGATGACATGGGCTCCTCCTTCATGATGACTGACTTGAAATGTTGGCCGGGCTTACCTTCTGCCAATTCCGCTTATGCCTCTCCCCACCGCGGCGTCCTTGCGGTAACCTCTTTGCACTCCACAGTTGCAACAGCAACCACACAGTCGGCCTCTGTTCCCCTTTTATCCCTCTTCCTTGTTTATTTCGTTTATTATTGTTTTATTGACCCCTCCTCCTCTTCTTGTCCGCGGGTGTCTCCTCCCTTCACAGGTGCCCGCTCCCTCTCTCTCCCTCTCCCTCTCTCTCCCTCTCTATTAACCGTGCCTTTCCGTCAATTGAAGGCGGCTCTACTGATGCCCTCTAAACTCCGCACTTGAAGGAAAAAAAAAGAAAAAAAAGAAAAGATGTGGTGGTGACCGAAACTGGCGGGCCCCCGCGACAAGAGGCATGCACGCGGAAATCAAGCTGTCACGTCGCACTTGTCATCACGTGAAGCGTGCATCCCGTGTGTTATTGTGTGTAGGTGACGTACAATATAAATATATAAAATGGATGGGCGAGAAAAGTGATGAGGGATTCAAAAGAAGAATAAAAGAAAAAAAGGTACAAAACAGACGCCCACACACGCCCCCCTCATTCCCTTCTTTCACCCCCATATTTGCCACTCGTCTTTGCCAATATACCCGGAACTGCCCAATTCTCGCAAAATAATATTCTAATTCTATTCAATATAGCACACATGATACAGCTGCATGAAGAAACAAGCAATAAATAAATAATGAGAAGGGGTGAAACGGATGATAAAACACAAGAATTGCTATCCTCGCTCAATTTACTCCCCGTATATCTCTTTCTTTGTCCTTCCTCCGGTAAATATCGGGCAGCCACATACATTTAATACATACACGCACATGCGTGCCCAAAGGCATACGTCAGGGGCGCCGTGAGGTGAAACATTACAGAAACAGGCGCAGTTTGACAAATAAGAAAAAACACCAGACATCCACAGACCGCAGCATTGCGCTACTGTGGGCCATCCGGGCACAGCAAAGCTCTGAGAGAGGCACAGATGGAGTCTGGGAAAGGGAAGAAGGTGAGAAAAAAAAAAAAAAAAAGTAATTTTGAGTGGTGAGGAGCAACTCGCTTTGACACCTCCAAATGTAAAAAAAAACCGGCACCATGAGTGCATCAGATCTCTTCTTGGCTTTTTTTATTGCTTGTTTCTGTTCATCTTTCCCTCTCGTTCCCCTTCTGTCCCTCTCTCTCTCTCTTTCTTCCTCTGTAGCAGTGTTGGCGGGGGCCTCTAGAAGTGAAAAACACATACAAAAAAAAAAGAAAACTAATAATAAAGCACACATGCATCACAGTAAGAAAACACGCGGTTATTGAGTCTCGTCCGTCTTGGCCTGAACCAAGCGACGTACCACCTCGAACAGCTCCTTCTTGGTGCTTGACATAGCCAAGGCAACGTGGTGCAGTTTGGCATAGGCTACAAGATCAGCCTTGGTTAGCTTGTGAAAAGCACGAGAGTGTGAAAGGTTTTGCATGACGGCGACCACCTCCGCCCCGTCGGGCCCGACAGCGGATTGTTGCTCCCCATCCGATGAAGATGGACTATGGCTTGGACTGCGGCGTGCAGCATCTTTCTGTAGAGACGGGGGTGGCGCTGGCGGATACAGCAGCGACCCTCGTGGTGCCAATACATCATTTTCCTGCGGCCCCTCCGCTCTTTTTGTTGGTCTCTGCGGTGTCTTGGCCTCCAATTCCGCGGGTTCTTTAAAGACGACAGACTTCCGTGCACAATTCGGGGTCCCTGCTTCCTGCGGAGGCGAAGAAAACCGTCCGGAGAGTCGCTGCACGGCACGCATCAGCAGCGAGGAATGCTCTGCGGGGGCAGCGTGTGAAGGGCTGGTGGATGCCGCGCCGTTTTTTGGATTGCTACAAATGACATCCGCAGGAGGAGGCGAATTCGAGCACTTCAACGGCGGTGTCGCGCCTTTCGAGTTTGGTATTGGCCGAACCTCGGGAGACCTCCCGAGCACTTTTGCCAGCCATCCGACGGAGGAAGAAGCACCGGCGGCTGGATCGGGGTGGGCTGGCGTAGGGGGCGGTGCCTTGGGAACCTGTGGTGTGCCAAACATACCGGACCAGCGTGATAAACTTTCTCGCGGGGTCTTTCGCGTCGACGTCGGCTGTGGGGAAAGGCTGCCGACCGCTTCCCTCTTCGGCGACACGCTCGACTGTCGAATCGGGGAACGTTCAATACTCTCCTTCAGCGTTTGACTTAGGCGTTCCTCCTGAATCTGTGTCTTGTCTGCCAGGGCATGCACTCTTTGCACGACGGCGTCGCAATGTAAAGTGAGCTCCCGTGACAACCTCAACTCCTCCTCGTGTTGAGACTGAACGGTTCGTGGCTCCATTCGGGCCTTCTTCGCCTCTTGGTGGAGACCTCTTTTCACACGGCTGCGAATCCGCAAGCGCGATGGAACATCCGACTTTGCCCGCCGCGTCGTTTCGGCATCGGCCGGTGTTTGTGAGCCGCAAGGGTGATCCGCCGCTGCGAGCGCAGCAACAGGAGTGCGTGCACGCCGTCGGCTGGATTCAGTGGAAACTTTTGTAGGGCATAAATTACTGCAGCTGCGGTGCCCCCAAGCGGAGACGAGGAAATAAAATGGGGAAACAGATGCAAAGAGGGGAGAGTGCATAAAGAACAAGAAGGAATTGACAATTCCTCACACAGTGGGAGAAACAGAAATGGGGGGAGAAAGAAAAAAAGGGAGGGAGAAAGAAAAAAAAAAGATGCCTCCGAGAGAACCGTCACGCACACACACACACACACACACACGCACACCGTCCGCGGAGAGAAGGACCGGAATGTATATACCCCAAGCGGAATTCGTCAGCAACAGCCCCGAATTACTTCATCGCCATCCTTCGCTCTTTTTGTTGTTGCTGTTGTTGTTGTTTTTCTTTTCCCTCCCCCCTTCCACCCAACCTCATTTTTACACTCTCTTCCTATTTAGCTCACTCGAATCCCTTCTGTGCTCGGTTGTCTTTTTCTTTTTTCACGACTCCTTCTTCTTCTTCCACCCGATTCGCTCCAGCGCTTCACACCCGCACGCACGTCGCTGCCCCTGGGCCACCGGCGACGGTGCCTCATGCCCTTTCCCCCGGTGTCTTTGGGCTCTCAAAGAAGAGCGAGGTGTAGGCAACAACAACCACCACGGTGTGACCCATAAGCACGTAGACAAGAAGCGACTGGACAAAGTACGGTATGATGGGGTAAAGCAGAAGAGCGGCGGGAGGAACAAAAAGCGTGTAGGAGTGCATCATCCAGATCGCCTCAAGAACTGACGTATTCGGCGGGAAAGCGTTTCCTTTCCACAGCAGAAACAAAAAAAAGTAGCTGTTAAATGCCTGGAGGATATAGTGCACAAAAAAAAACGGCATGACGAAATAATTCGTGAAGGCCAGGCAGGCCGCCTCATACGCCATGAAGAGGTCCGGTGCGGCGGCGAGGCAAAAAAGATACAGCAGGGTATGCGAAACAGGAACCGTTCGCGTCGTTGCAAGCACCACATCCAGCGCGGCGGTGCTCAGTGCGCTCGCCTGCGGCACCGGCACACCGACGAGCAGCTTGTACAGCTCGTCGTCAAAGAAAAATGTGTACAGCATCGCCAGACGTGGAAAGAAAACGGCGGTCCCCCCCACGACCCAGACACGAAAATTCTCCTTCGCGAAGTAGGACCAGAAATCCATAATGGCCCTCTCGGCCGCCCCGCAAAGACAAAACCCCTTTAGAAGCTTCATGTGTGCTGTCAACTTCACCACCTGAATCGCATTGTCGACGGGAAAATGCTCCTCAAAGTCAGCCGGCTCCATCTCCAGCAGCGTGGGGCCGTCAACCAGATATTTGCGCACATACTTGCCGAACTCCGCGTAGCCCACCGTGTGGTTCATCCAGTACTCGACGTCTGGTACCGACCACTCCTGGACGGGTTTATTCGCTATCGGAGACGGGCTGATTGTGATTGGCTCCACCTGCGTGTTCTCACCCTGTGGGCTCGATTCACATAGAACAGCACACAGAGATACCGCAAGCAGCAACAACGTCAGCCCACCTCTGCCCATGATTGCCTGATCGCACGCCTTCTTGCCCCCACCCCCACCCGCGCGGATGTCAGTCGATGCCTATTCCCACCAAGGAAAACTTTGCTCAAAGGAAGACGGGAGTTCAAAACAGGTGCATGTTACATCATTGCTCCATATCAGCGGCAGCAAAAGGCAAAAATATATATAAAACATAAATAAAGCAAACAACAACCAACAGTAAAGCCCCCTCACCCAACCATTCACCGCCCAAAGGATAACGCACACACATATATACATACATACATGCACAGTATATATTAAAGAAAAGATGCGACAGCACAAAACACGTACAAAGAGAGAAAAGCACGGCTATTTATTTTTTCTTCCTTTCCTTCTTTCCTTGCTCTTCCTTCGCCCACCCTTTCTCTCTGCGGGAGCGGGAGGGAAAAAGGGCAAGCGTCCAAACAAAAAAGAAACAAACGGAAGGGTCATGCCAAAAAAAAAAAAAAAAAAAACGGAAACGAACAGACGTATAGAAATATTCACCAATGCAATAAATTACATCCATTCTTGTGGAAATCACCGCCTCACCCTCTCGCCCTTTCCACGAAGAGCGGCTTTTGCGCGCCCCGTCGTCGGGGAATCCGCCTCCACTACCTTCGGTGCAGAACCCAGCGAAAACCCCATCGTCGCCGTCAGCTCCAACTGCTGCAGTTCCCTGATGCGCCTCTCCACGATGAATGCAAGAAGCGTTAATTCCCCCATTTCCACCTCCCGCCTCTTCGCCTCAGCCAAAAACCGTTCCGCCGCAGCACCCTGAGCAGTCATCATGAGGGACTTGTTTCGCCTCCGTGACAAGGTTCCGCTCAAATTTAAGACACCAGAAAAAGCCTCCGAGGATTGAGTAAACAGCGTGAGGCCCTCCATCGCAGCGGCTGCAGACTCACGGAATTCTTGAGCCTGAAAGCGCTTTTCCTCCAATGCCATCTTACTAACAACAAGGGGCTCATGCACAGTGATGCAACGCGGCATGGGCGCGGTGCTCAGCAAGAGACTAGAAGCATCGGCATAGAACGATCCAATGTCACACGTCAACGCGACGCAGTTACCACTAGGGAAGCGAATGTCGTCATGGATCTTTACTGTGAGAACAAACGGCCTCGCAAGAGACTGGGAAAGCCCAGCTGTAGGCATCACATTTGCCGTTACCACATGATCTATAACACGCACATTCTCCATATGCGTTGCCGAGACCCGCAACTTCCTTTTGCTGAGTCTCTGTTGAGTCGCTGCTGGCACTTCCGGTCCCAAACGAAGTTTCTCACATTTTACAAGAACAGCACCCTTATCATTATCACCGTCACTATTACCACCCCACGAACCTTGCAGAGTTATGCTTGTGCTACACTCGTACAACGGTCCCTGCAAAACGGTTCTGGTCTTTTTCCTTACTTTTGTAGCCTTTGCCTCCGAAAAAGCTGTTAACGGAGTCTCCTCCCTTAGAACCGGAATATGCGCCAGTGCACTGAGCCCCTCCAGCCTCGTCACCTCAACACTTAACACCACCGCGGGTGTATGCTTCATCGCCTCGGACGGACTCTTTGGGAGCCCACCAGTCGGGACGTGATCCAACAGACGCAATCTTGGACATGCAGCAACAATTCGTTCAATGTAGTCGTCCAACAATGCGATGGGACAACCAGTAAAAGTCACGTCCTCCAGCAGCGGGTGCGCCCGCAGCGCCTCCACAGTTGCCTCAATGGAGAAGACGGCGTTGCGGGTGAGGTCCAGCACACGTAAATTTGGTAGACCGCCCAGGAATTCCATCTGCTCCATCGCATTGTACGACAACCCCAGAAAGGTCAGCGTAGTCGAGGCGCACACCTCCCGAATGGAGCAACCACATGCCACAAGCACCAAGCAAGCAGGCGGCAAATATGGGATAGACGTAAGCTGTGGATTGTTGCTCAGCACCAAAGTCGTGAGGTTCGAAAAAAGGGTGATGTCTTCGGTCACCTGGCGCAGTCCCTTACCCGAAAAAATCAGATCCGTAAAGTACGCGTAAATTTCATCCTTCTTAATTCGTGAAGCCCGCTCATTCGCAAGAGCGGCATCCAGCTGTTTTTGCTCATAATCCTTCAAGCGACCCCAACTAGCAGAATAATCCTCAGCAATTTTCAGCAGCCGCAAAACGCTCTCGCCGTAACGGAAGCAGCGCTCTCTCAGTTTCGCAATGGCCGTGTCTTTCTCACAGCAGTCAACCGCAGGGAGCTCCTCCATTGGGACCATGGGCGGAATCACCCCCGTTGTCAAAAACTGCGGCGGTACAACAGGCCGCACGGAATCGTGCGTACACGACGACCCAGTCCGAAGACTAGTGCTCAGCGCCACGCCGCCCTCTCGCAGCAAGCGCAGGCTCTCGCACGAATGTCCAACGTACGTGTGGACGACGTCCCAGAAGAAGCCATGGAATGTCCCGCTCGACCCCTGCAAAAAAGCGCGCGGCGTGTACGACTCCCACGGGAGCGGCACTGTCATTTGTGGGAATCCTGCGGACCAGGCAGCGGCGAGAACGTGGCAAACGACACTAAAACACACACAAAAAAAAAAAGGAAGAAAATTCAAAAAAACACGGCATGGCACCGCAGCATTTTTCAAAAGGGCTGCTGCTCGCAACGCCCTGAGCGACAGCCCGTAGGGTGGGCCGAAAATCTCGACGCCAAACAACAAAAAAAAAAAGTTTTCGGTTTGTCCATGCGGGAATCTTTTCTCGTATTTGCCCGAAGGACGGACGATGACCGTTTGGCTCGTTGCATTTAACTCACAAACCGGGATTGGGCTTCTACACTGTCAACGCCCAAATTCGCTGTGAACCCACAAACTGACCGTCCCTAAAAAAAAAAAAAAAAAAAAAGCCCCCCAACCGTCAGACTCTTCCGCGTGGAAGGCGACGATTCTCCTCGTGGATGTGGGGCAAGAAGTGGGGAAAAAAAAAAAAAGGGGTGGGGGGGTGGGGGAAACGAAACACGTGTTTTGCGCTGTCTTTAAAAACGGCATTCTAAAGGCAAACAAAACAAAAAGGAATTTTATCCATAAATCCCAAAAGAAATATATATATATATATATATATACGTGTATAAGTATATATATATACGTGTATTTATGTATGTGTGTGTGTGTATATATTTAAACAACTCGCTCTTTATTACGTTCTTTCTCTCTTTCTCACTCTCACACACACACACACTCTCTCTCTTGCAGTTAATCCCAGTCTTGACCCGCATCCTTTCCAAAGGAGGGTCTCACCTGTCCGCATACACTGAAGTCTTACGGTTCCAATCATATATATTTATATATTTACATAGACAGATAGATAGAGGGAAAAAAAAAAAAAAAAAGGCAAAAACACGGGGCATTCATTCATGCAGACAAGACAAAAGAAAAAAAAAAAAAAATGATATTTGGAAAAAAGAAAAAACAAAAACAAGAAAAAAAAAAAGAATAGAGAAAAATGAAAGAGTAAAAAGAGCCCAAGGGGAAACATTGAAAGAAATCCCATCCTTCCTTTTTCTTTTTTCTTTTTTTTTTTCTCTGCTCTCTTGAGGTATTTCCGCCACACTTCCACGGACCCTGCAGTAAATTTCCCAAGAGAATATATATATATATAAGCTGTTTGCTTGTTTGTAATTGCGTTTAACTGCTTGTATGCCTTCTTAAT